ATCAAAATCTAATCTAATTTTCACGTGTCAAATACTTTAGAAGTATTTAAGTTATGTAAGCGTAATTTATAGTGAAGTGAAACAAGATATAATATTTTAGATCCCAATGATAATAAAGTTACCATGTTATACAGGGTGTCCACAAATTTAAACTAATCAAATAAGAACTTTAAGCGGCTCTAACTTGATTAATTTAAATACAACCCCATATTTTTTAACTTACCAGGAAATACAATTTTTAATTACCTATCGAATGGTATTAGGATATTAATGCCTAAGTTTTTGTTTTATTGCATTCGCAAGGAATTTTATAAATTACATTTTTTGTATTTTCAATTATGTCATGAGGTTTTGTTACTGAAATTTTACTTCTAATTGTATTTTCAGTTTTGAAGATAGTCCTAATATTAATTTTTTTACCTACTCGTTTAATTTGATCTGAAAGTCCTGGAATAAATAGAATGAAAAGGTTCGTAATAGGTTTATTTTGATTTTGTTTTGTTCGTGGGAATTCGTTGGGTTCGTTAAAACATTTTTCAATAAAAGAATTTGGATAATTATTGAAATTTAGAATTTCTTTTATGAAGTGTTTTTCTTTGGAAAATTTAGTAATAACTTTGTTATTAGGAGTTTTTTTCAAATGCAGAACTCTAACGAATTTTAGCACCATTGAAACATTCATAGCTTGCTAAACCATCCCGGTACACCTTGAGAACAGTTCGAATAAGTGCCGCATCCGCAATTGTCGGCCCTGGAGGAGATTCAAGTGTTTGAAATGAATATTAAAATGGCAAGAACGCATCGCAATGGATTAGGCCGAGCGGACCCGCTCTTAGATTACTCGTTTCATTAAGTTGAGTGCCTGTCTGATATGCCGGAGTTCTTCCGGAGCAGCCATCACTATATATACCTACATTCCATTAAGGGAAAGCTCGAGCATGGAAGATGTCTTCATTTAAATTTTTGCTCCCTGACCCTTTGCCTAAAACGCTCCTTTTGTGTTGTTGTTTTTACTTACATTAATGGATTCCATTAACGCCAGCGCATTAAACATTGTTATGATAATTTTTCATCGGCCTGGATGCGAAAAGTCAAGCTCATCCTTCGTAATTCTGAAATTTGCTTTTGCTTAAATCACCTTCGCACATTCCTAGGCACCCCCCTTACAGTAAAAAATAAAACAACAAAGACATTGGAGTGAGAATCTTTCACGTGTATGAAAAATTACATACAATTTCACAGAATGAGAATCACTCCGGCGCTCCAGGGAAAAAAAGGCAACATTAAGTGCCCAAGTAATTTCCAATCGCGCACACTTGACCCCACCCTGTATAAGCCCGGTCAGCAACATTTGCCCCTGATTCACGTGTTAACTGCTCCACTTTCCAGAACAAATGGGGAATAGATGAAAATTTACAAATGACGATTACGAGCTGAATAACGCCCATGATATGATGGATAAAGCCTGATCATTAAGCCCCGTATTTAAATCTATTTATTTTGGCATAACATTGTCGCATCAATTAGATTTATTGATACAAATCCCGAAGCTAATTATGACCATCCAAACACCCGCAGTAACAAGCTTGAATTGTCGGCACAATAATTAGGCGAAACACAAATAATAATATGGCCGGTTGAATTATTGCGCTTTTTGAATACAATGCCGGAAATTTGGCGGTTTTCGGCCCCTGATTTATCTGGTCATCATCAGGATTCGAAACAAGACGGTGGTGGGTGTGTCTGATAATAGTAGTTTTTGATACAAGTTTTCGTATGGAACAATATTGTTAGCGACCTGGGAAAACGGAGCAACCACGCGAGAGCGGCAACACTGGTAGGCGGGACACACCCAGGACGGGAGTGGCAACATCGCGGCTACTTCATGGCTGTGACGGGAGACGGCGCGGCGTTACTTCCGGGCAACACAGAACATCCGTGGGGTTGCCAGGGGAGATGGATCATTATTGATTTGATGGTGACGGTGCAAGGCGTTCATTAAAATTATTGAGCTTTGCATCGATCGTATTCTTCCTTAAATTTAACCCTAACAATATTTTTTATTCGAATAAAGGAAAAAAGTTATAATAGATGAAAATAGCCAAAAATAAAAGCCGGCAACTTTTTGCAACAGCATGTTTTGACGTTTGTAGTTTTTCAAACGCGTACTTTTGTAAGCATATACAAGTGAAATAGTGAGTGTTGAAAATCCAAGTGCTGCTTTCACGGTATGGAGTTTGTACAAGATGCATATTTTGCATAAAATCTGCGATTTTTAACAAAATCGTGTTTTGCTTGTGGCAACATCGACGAGTGCAAAAAATAGACCATTTGAACGACTTTGAGACTGAACTTGTAGCAAAATTATAATTTACAAATTGTAAGTGAACTTTAAATTGTGATCAATAGTTCTCTATAAACCTACATAATTAATTAAAAAAGCCTGTCGTTCACTTTTTAATGAAAATACTTCAAAATATTTTATGACAGTGACACGTTTAATTTGTCACATTTACTTTCGCGCACACGTGCGTAATAGTCCGTGCGCAAAAGTAAAACAAATGAACAGTAAAGAAAAGTGCTTCTTTTTGATCATCGCTTCTGATGGAAAAATGGCACTTTTAGATTCATTCGAATGAAAAAATGTTTATGCCTGGTGTCCAATCATTTTAGAGTCGAACATTGAAAAACAATCGGAAAGTTGACGATTTGACGTCAGAGTGTCGGGGCTCTCATTGCCCATTAGCGAGATTGAACCCCCCGTTGTACCTTGTCCTCCTCCTCGTCACTTCCGTTTTCCGTTCTCCATCTGTTTTCCTTCTCTACTAAAAGAAATTGTTTCCTGTAAGCCGGGAAATGAATTAATGCATTTCAAGCATACATTATTGATCATCCTTAATGCGAGAGCCGGCATTTAGGTGATTCGCCGTAATTTCCCAATTGGTTTATGCTCTTTTGCAATTAGCAAAAAAAACACCAACCCTGATATAATACAAATTGCCGACAACTAATTTCAGTAATAGCAAGGTTTGTTCTCCATTAGATAAATGGTTTTGGGTTGCCCGCTTTCTGCATTTTATTGAGCATTTTTAGATTCTCTGCAAACATAATTAATCAAATCAATTATTTAATGGCCGAAACATTTGGCTCAACTATATCTAATGACCGCACCCTTATCTTATTCCCGTGTTTCGTTTTGCGTAGCAGGACCGCAAAATTCAGTTTAGATTAAACCTGTATTTATTTAACAACCTCGTCAAATTAATAAAAGTAAACAATAAAAGCAGACGATTTTCGCCTGGTTTAATTAGGAACGCCTTACGCAAATATCGTTCACAACTAGATGTCGTTTTTTTTCGTTCTTCCCAATTATATCCATTGTTGGAGTTTAAGTCAAGAAGGCTGGTTAAGGGGACGCGGGAATAATCGCGAGCAAATTCGCGCAAATGTCGTTCAGAGGTTCTCACGCTATGTATATTTGTACAGGGTGGATTTTCAAATCTTTAACTATATAAAGTGAATTTTTCGGAATTTAACAGAAAGTTTTCGCTACTAGGGCGAAAAGTGTTCCTTTTCGAACGACAACAGTGTTTGACAACTGATTGATTGATTCTTGAAATCAAGACTTTTTTAGAAAACTGCCAATAATTCCTTATCGATGGTTTACTTTCTTGATGCGCGTTCTTGCTCATTTTGCTTCCGAGAAATGAGCAAAAACGGGACCAAAAACATATAATTTTGGTCTAATTTTGCACCTAAATGTCTGATATTCAAATTTAGCTTCATGTGGCAACATCGGCGAACGCAGATAAGTAGGCCATTAAGACCACTTTGAGACTGAACTTGTAACAAAGTGGTAATTTCCAAATTGCAAGTAAACTTTAAATTATGATCATGCCGGTTAATTTTTACTGAATATACTTTACAGTGACACGATCAATTTTTCAGATTCGAATAAAAATGATGTTTTGTTACAGAAACTTACTGGCATCCGGAACCTTTTGCGTACCGGCACACAGACGCATACGATCATCGGGTCCTTCGCAACCACATGAAGGTTCAAGAGCGGCTTCCACAAGAGCAGCAATGTGTCGCGATGCACAGACATTTTTTTTATAGTAGAGAGCTCTATTTTATCAAGTTATTCATGTAAAAACTGTAAATTTTGTACAGAATCTGAACCAACCCGTTAATGCGTTAAAACTTGTAAAGGGTTGCTTCGTATGCTTGGAGACTTTTGCGGACTTCGAATAATAAACTTACCAGACGCGGTCTAAATTTATGGACCAACCTGTACAGAGAGTAAAAAATGCGGGAGAATTTGTTAATACTTGCATTGTAAGTTCTTATTGCATTCTCATTCAGCTCTGTTAAGTGTAGATACTTTGTTGTACATAAACACATGTTGCAAGTAGTTCTAAAGCTCACTTTGTGCAATAGCGACTTTCAACTCAATAATATCCCAAGACCCACTTGATCGACTAATGGAGGGCTTAAGCTACATTAGCACAGGTTTGTTCCAAATCGTGTGAGGTATACATTTTGACGAATTTTTGGGGACGAAAATTGTCATTTTTTTTATCTGTCTATTGTCTGTAAATAAATTTCACTACTGAATCTAATTGTTTTCTTGGCCCCTGCAAAAATGTCAAACCAAAATGACGCGACCCGGCGTAAAATCCCCGGATTCTTTTGCCCAAAGCTGATATTTTAATTATGAACGAATGAGGAAAACCCGATCTATGTCGACTACTCCGCTGTTTTAGGTAAGCCAAACAGGTGCCGCCTCTGATTTGGAGTCGTCTCGCCTTTAGCACGTATTAATGAGCTGTGCGGGCTTAATGAATCACAAGAGATCATTATAAATGAACCACGCACAAGACCCTCCACCATTAAAAATCAGAACTCTCACTCCCCATTATTATAAAGAACCGATGAGACGACGGTCTTATATTTTCTGCGACGAATTTTATTGACAACACTCGGCTTTTGCATCGTCTTTTCAGTCAGCAGAATCCCGATTTTCAATTTAATGGTAAACATTCACGTTGCCAGCATTTAGCAGCTAGATATCCACCTAATAACAGCTATTGCTTCGCAAAAATTTTCGCCAAAAAAACCGACTTGCATCAATTACTAAAGGAATTCAGCTTAGTTCTGAAGCCTTTGAATCACACTCAGTAGCCTTACTGTTTTGCTCTGTCAAGGAACGGTGTGTCATGCGCTATGGTGTTATGAAAAAC